TATTTTGACAAACAGTTGTTTTTCTGTCTATTATTGTTTGATTTTCATGCGTTCATTTTAGTGTAGTTATGTAACAGATTGTGTGTGGACGTTCTGCTCTTATAAACACTACAATTAGGAATTACATATTTGAAGTTGACATTTTATGTTTAATAGTTTTGATGTTTTATATCAGGTCTTACATTTTAATGTATCAGTCTGAACTAGTTTTTATAAAGGTGATATCTTGCGATTGACATGAAATTAGGATCTTGATCCTCTACCATCGGTATATTGATTAAAATTCTTAGTAACATTTAAGGGTTTAAATATACATAGTTGGTTAATGTTGGCACCGTGAACTCTAGAAATACGTTATCTAAAGAGACAATTTGAATCCTCCCTATGTAGATTCCAAAAAGCTTTTATTATATGGTGCAAGGAGAAATGAAATCTTTTCCATTTCAAACGCTGATATTTCGCGAATGTTTCAATCAGGTTTCCCTGAAGTCCATATCGTTATAGTAACAATATTATTGATATAATAGTAACTAGGTCTCTATACATTTCTATTGTTGTAATCGCCACAAGTGTTTGCAGTTATTTGTATTGTTGCCCGAGTGGTGGCGGTAGTATCGTTATCAGTTTGACCAGCTTGACTTGATCCAGAGCAATGAGAGCATTGGATTTTTGGTGATTTTTGTGAATTTTTGGTGATTTATATGCTCTGCTTGATGGTTGGGGCTCGGGTTGGGGGCTTGGCTAAGCTGAGCAGGTAACTAACGTACACTACAGTCATTGCACTTATTTGCACATAGCTATTTGAGTTTAAACTTTACTACTTTAGAGTTTAGTTAGTGTTTAATTACTCGGACTGGGATTTGCAGCTACTTAGGCATTAGCTTAGCTCGAGACTAGTAACTTAGTAACGGTTACTTGCGGCTATAAAACGTCTGTGATAAGCAATTAATGCCTCTTATCCGAAGTGAATATGTCTTAAGTTATAATATCAGCAACTAAAGACCGAGGCTATTCGCCCGGGTGCAAATCCACTTTAGGCACCTTAGGTATCACGAAGTGATGCACAGATTTCTGTGTATCATCAACTGATGCACAGAATTTCCGTATATCCAGATGAGACGGGATACTAGAGAAGCGTTGCCGAAAGGAGATGTTCATCCCAATTGCGCTGAAGCGCAGATCTTTCGCGCAGTTCTTGTGATGGTTTGAAATGAAGCGAGCGTCGAGCGAATTTTTCAATCCCGCTTTCCTACCTGCTCTAATATTCATGTCGTTTGTGCACTCAGCACAGGGCGGGCGGGCGTGCGGTGTACGTGTGTGTTGCAGATGAGCATTTGACCGGCATTTACAGGTGATTATAGGCGAAATAGAGTAGAGAAACATTAAGACTTTGGTACATTTCGTGTTTATTTACCATTAATTTTTTTATTGAGACGTTCCAAGTGCCTGTGGATTAGGGAGTCGCCTACGCAGTACGCCTACTCCCTAACCCTAACCCTAAACCTAACTATATCAGATAGTTACCCGGGTACGTTCCGGCAGTACCCTGGGGGACATGCATACTCGCAGCAAATTTTATTTCCTATCGTAGTTTATTTCTAAAGTTATATCAGCCGAAAGTTGCTACCACGCCCGCTAGATCGCCCGTGCCATATTGTCTATATTTGACCAGCCAGTGTTGCAATCGAGTCAAGGTAGCAACTTTCGGCTGATATAACTTTTGAAATAAACTACAATAGGAAATAAAACTTTGTATTCAAAATGACAACCGTCTTGCCTGCATGTAAATATTTTAAGAATTTTTTACGTAATAGTTTTAGAGTTAGAATGTGTTAAAAACCCGACCGAGTATGACTTTGGGAGATATGCAGGCCCTAGCTGCGAGTGGGGGACATAGACCCTATGAGCAATACTACCGTACCTCAATTACAGTTCCACTGTTGTGTCACTGTATATCAACGTTCCTTCATAAAAACTAACGCCGAACGCTCCCGCACTCGCCGTTGCGAGTGTGCTGTGTTGCCATGATAATATATGAATATAAAGAAGGTAGAAAAATCTGTTTGCGCGATTTTCGACGATCACTCCTCGCTTATTTTACATTTTACAAACTTTTAACGCCTCTACGACCTCCATCGTGGGCTCATTCTGCCCTCTATAGTCCACTGAACAAAACTATACATGTAACTACCGTGGCCGATACGTGCAGCAGTCCTATGTAATCTGACTTCAAACACAGAAGTTTTGCGGTTTGTGCTGGTTCATCAAGATTGTAGATGATTCACAAATCTGATCGGCCCCGGTAGCGCCCGGCCCGATTGGCTGCAGTGACAACAGCTGTTTATGACGCGTCCCGTCTGCAGCCAATCGCGCTCTGCGTCGCCCGAATATATAAGTTCATTTGGATGATTTTGCAGTAGCTCTAGTAACTATAGTCTATAGCCCGCGTACGGTTGCCGCTAGCTATAGTACTAGAGCTAGGTTGCCGCAGGCCTGCGCCAACCGTACACGGGCTATAGTTACTAGAGCTAATTTTCCAGCACCTCACTTGTTTATTATGCTCCTGATTATTTGTTGTTCGGGTTCACTCCCTGAAGTGAAGGCGCTCACTATCTTCTTACCATATATAGCATGCAGTGTAGTGCTCAGTGAACATTGAAAAGTATCAGAACATAGCAAAGCATAAGTGCGCAAAACAACACACACGCTGTTAGTATTTGTTTGGCAGCATCGTTTGTGTTTATCTAGCGGCCATGAATGGGGAGGAAGACGAGGAAGATGACACTCACAGTCACAGCACACAGACGCCTTGCGTACCGCTGACGTTGGACGAAGAGGAGGAATCTCGCGAGCGAGAGCATTTTCATCGAATTGTCAATGCATTTCGATATTATAGGTTATAATTTTTATTATTAAATCCTTATTGCATGTAATTCAAATAGAAATACATGTATTGAAGACAGTCTTTTTCATGGAGAAAAAATCTGATAGATGCAATAGTGTTGAGCAGTTAAAATAATAAAATTATGATGAAAAGGTATGATCGGGTGACGATGTGTAATTCACGGTGTCTTGAAACACACATTACTGTGTTACGGTTGAACCTAGCCTGACCAGTTTCACGTCATAGGACGTTCATGTCACAGAATGCTTTTTGCCATGTAGGGAGAAGCGATAAAGTAACTTGTGGCCAGGCTAAACCTAACTTTAACACGATTAGATACTAATATGTAATCTTGCAAATGGGTAACCTACCCTGTTCGCAGGGCTATGTATTTTCTGTATATAGGATGATGAACTGATGACATACAGCAATCAGATGATCATCATTTCATCAGCTTCGTATCATATCATTACATCATATCATAGCAGTAGTCGATCTAACCCTATATTTCTTGTTTAGGTAAACGTCTAGCAAATTCGAACGTCTCATGATCATGAATTCCGACCACCGCGTATAAACTCTGCATTCGTCGATTTCAGAAAGCACTCGTATCTGAGGATAGCGCGTGCAGAGCATGATTTTCGAAAGCTGTCTGAGCGGCACAAGCTCATGTGCCCGACGTTCACGGAGCATCTGAATGAAGTGCGACTCTGCGTGGACCACAACTACGAAGTAATCAAGCAGATCGTGGCCAACACCGATCACATGTTTGAGAATATCGATTACTGGTTAGTGCAGGTGAGTGGTCTGATTATAGCAGTTTAAAGTTGATTATTTCATTTCCCATTAAACTTATATGTTCTCGACAGTATGTGTAACGTGTGTGTAAGAGGGTGTGTGTGGCTTAGTGCAGTATCTGCTTATATCTGCAATATAAGCATGGAAGCAAATTTAAAACACAGCGTACGACAAAAGAACTTGGTAACATTTCCTCTAGGTTTTCTTTTCGATTATGGCCCTTGTACTGATGATCAGATTAGCGAATGAATGATGTTTCGAAATTTGGAACCCATATAATACTGCAGCAATTTTGCAATGATGCCAAATTAAACCAACATTCAGCTATATTGGATATGGGTAGATCAGCTATTCAGCTATAACCCGTCAACCGCGGTTTTTCTCTAACTTCGCAGCAAGACGATCAAGCTACGACCGACAAGTGGCCTTTAGCGAGTTCCGCAGACATGGACAAGGTTCACAGCACCATGAAGCAGTTTGTGCGTGACTGGAGCGTCGAGGGAGAGCACGAGCGACTCGTCTGCTACCAGCCAGTGCTGGATGAAATCCTGGCGCATTTCCCACCGGACAAGAGGTGTGCATATCTGCTGGTGAGGAGAATGATAGAGGAGGGTTGCCCTACTAATTCAAGACGGCGGTGGCAGCAGGGTATTAGCGCTCATAAGGTCCATGTCTCCCTGGGTACTGCCGGAACGTACCCTGGTAACTATCTGATAGGGTTAGGGTTAGGGAGTAGGCGTAGGCGACTCTCTAGACTCATTAGTGGAGTAGGCGACGTACGGCACCGGCGCGCGTGCACTGTTTCGGATCCGAAGCGAAACTGCCAGCGTTCGAAAGTTTGTGTGCGAAAGTATGCGACGTGCAGTCACATATTTTGGAACAGTCCATTTTCATAAGGGGGTAATTTTTGGACATAAAAAAAAATTCTGCTTTTTATCGATTCAAATCTCAAAGACAAAGGATGAATTTTGAGGAAATTTTATTTTTTAATTTTATGCCTTGTGAAAGAGCGATTTAAAGGTAATTTTAGGCTTAAACAATTTAATGATATTAGCTTATGTGCGATACATCACCCCCCATCATTTTTTTTTTCGGGCCACCAGATTTCATTTTCGGGCCACCAAAAATTGAAAATCGGGCCACTGGAAAAAAAGTTAGTGTGGAGCCTTGGACTATACTGTATAGCTAATAGTACATGTGTGTATAGCCAATAGTACACATGTGTATAGCTAATAGTACATGTGTGTATGTGTGTATAGCTAATAGTACACATGTGTATAGCTAATAGTACATGTGTGTATAGCTAATAGTACATATGTGTATAGCTAATAGTACATGATTACGATTAGTGCTAGGTGATGGGGTGTACTCAGATCAGTCAGTTGTTCACCGTTGTTGTGCTTTGTTACAGTGACATGGAAAGTGTGATGGTACTCGTGCCAGGAGCAGGCCTTGGTAGGCTTGCCTATGAAATTGCCAGGTTAGGTTATACCTGCCAGGGAAACGAATGGAGCCTCTTCATGCTCTTCGCCTCCAACTTTGTGCTCAACAGGTACATAATAGGCCACCCTTAAAAAATTGTTTGTTTCCCCTTTACCTACTCGCCTCTCAGGGTACCGAGTAGGTAGGTAGGTGAAAAATCTTGTTTATTTTGTTTTGACAAGATGTGTGTATGTATATTGTATATTCTGTTTTGTATATAAGTTTTTGCGGAACGAATTATATTTTTTTTGCCGAAACTAAATAATTTTTGTTTTGTATTAATCGGCCAATAAAATGTGTCGAGTAGCGGCGTTTTCGCGAGTCGGTCGGTAAAGGGGAAACAAGCAATATTTTATCTTCTAGGCCTAATACAACAGTGTCGTTGGGAATTTCGTACCCAATTTTGTGTTGCCAACTTTTCACCGTAATTCTGCAAGGAAGCCATGCTTTACTTTAAGAGTTAAACGTGTCTGTTGGTTTATACTAGTGTAAAATTATCTCAACGTAGCATAGTGAGAGGGTCAACGCATCTAGGACTCGTGTATGTGGCTGCTGTGTGTTCGCAAGATATTTGACTTCGGTTTTTACTTGAGTATGACCAGGTATCCATAGAGCAAGGAAATCTTGCAGCAAGGTGAATATATTTCATCAGGATTAGGTCCTGTCTGTCTGTTCACTGGAAAGGTTTTATGAAATCCCCATCAAGGTCCACAGATATCTCATAATGTAAACTTGGTTCTTCTATTGAAGAGCAACTGAACATTTATTATCAAGTCCCTGCACGTGTCCTTGTGTATCATTAAGCCTAGCACAGACCTGCGATTTTTGGTTGCTCGTTGCTGCAACCCGCAACCTCAAGCGATCGGTCGCAATGCCGCAAATGCTTCACCGCGTGTGCGCACACATGTGATTTCAAAGCAATTCTAGAGCAATTTGGCAGCGATTGGGAGCGACGAGTTGCTCGAAATCAAACAAGTTTCAATCAATCTTGCAACTCGTCGCAAGTGACCAGAATCTCTCAGGGTTGCAGTTGCACATTCCCGCAGACGTAGGGATTTCATAGAAATTTTTACAGCAATTCTAGAATCACTGTCAAGTTGCATGAAAAAATTGCACGTGTGCGCTAGGCTTAAGTTAAGAGTGCGTGTAAATGCATCTTTTTAGGTGTAGAGAAGTAGAAATGATCACCATATTCCCGTGGGTCCAGCAGTATCAGAACCGGAAAGCAAACGCGGACCAAATTCGGCCGTGTAAGATTCCGGACATCAACCCCGCGGTCCTGCCACCTGGTGCCAACTTTTCCATGGCTGCCGGAGACTTCCTCGAGATCTATAAGTCGTCAGGTACTTGGCGTCGCGACAATAGTGGAGTATGTGATCATTGGCACTGTGCCAAATTGGATTGCATCTCACCTGTGTACTGTTTTACTGCGATTCACCGATGTTCACCAAACGTTGGGAGCGTCAGCAGGCAAACTTGTCTGAATTCATGAAAACGCGCTGGATTTTCGGAGGTTTCAGAGAAAGATGACATGCCAATGAATGCAGATTAAGCCGTGGAAACAAAATTTTGAATTAATTCGAATGAAGACTGTGTGCTATGGATCTTGGTTGGTGGTGTTTGTGGAAGTGTGAGCATACGTGGGTGATAGTGCTGTGTTCATGGCTCATTTACATTTGTAGAGAATTTGATGTTGTGGCAACCCACCACTTAATCACACTTGGACTGTTAGTTCATATATAGAAATGAAAATCGACAAATTGCAATATTCAGGGAATTCTTCTGCAGTTCAAGTTCATTTCAATGTTAGATGTGATGATTAGTTGGAGACAATAGATATATTTCGAAATGAGTAGGGGATGATATATCATTGTGGCGATTCACATTGAATGTTTTTTTTTTCTAGATGCCTGGCATTGTGTTTCGACAGTGTTTTTTATCGACACGGCTAGAAATGTAATGGAGTACATTGAGAAAATATGGAAAATACTCAGACCAGGAGGAATATGGATAAACATGGGTACGTGTATGCACTGAGTGAAATTACATGCTCTGATAAACTTATCGTAAAGATCTTACAGATGGCAGCACAGTGCAATCAGTAGTAAAATGCGGTTTTCTTACGGCTATGCAGATGAGCGCATAGAATGGCTGTGGATAAAATGTCTTTTGCGTAAAATCTGAATGTCTCTGTCATTCTGATTTTTTAAGGTCCATTACTATATCATTACTCGGACATGGAAGGGGAGACTTCAATTGAGCTTAGCTATGAGGAAATCAGAAACGTCATGGTGCAGATCGGGTTTGACATTCTGGTAAGGATTATTATTCTTGTGCTTTTGATACGTGGTATTCTCTATACCTTATCCAGTCAAACCTGTGTATAAGGGTCAGTCGAGATAAACCACAAAGTGGCTTTTATAGACAGGTGTCTGTTCTATAGAGGTTGTTCCTCTGTATAAATGTGAAAGAAAATGTGAAAGGGACTTTTTGTGTTTCTAGGTATAACACAGCTGTAACAGATTCAGTGGAGTATCATTGTTTGGGGTGTTGAGTCTGTTGACATTGCTGTTATAGCGTTATAAGACCAGGAATAAATAACAGACGAGTAAGACATGCCAAAAAAGTCAAAGTCAACATTTACTAGCCTTACAGGCTGAGAAATTTCCGTGGATTCGAAGATTTTTCTACTGCCAGGATCATTTTTAAGGTTAATGTAAATTCCTAATGAAAATTTAGGTGGTAAAAATTGCTTACTATGATTTTGAGAGGACAAGTAGGCCCAATGTTACATTTCACTGTCAATGTCAGCCACTATTAAATCAGATTGAAGTCACATCACAGTGTCAGGGAGATGCTTGTTTACTCGGAAAACTATAGTGACGAAATTTGAGAGCAGACACACACTAGTTGTCGTTGCGATTTTCTGTTGAATTACGGTTTCCACCGAGTTTATCCACTTGTTTTGTTTTTGTCTCAATTTTCTGCTCAATTACGGTTTCCACGAGTTTTTCCACTTGTTTTGTTTTTGTCTAAACTTTCTGTTCAATTACGGTTTTCACGAGTTTTTCCCCTTGGCCATTCTCATCCCTAGACTACCCATCATTTCCTCCCAATAGTGACGACAACAATGGGACAGCCGAAACGCGCGCGCTCGCGCGCGTCCACCGTCTCGGAAATCTTATTACCGTTTCAGAAAGAACGGGAGGATGACGTGACGGTCCCGTACTCGCAGAATCCGCGGTCGATGATGAAGCACGTCTACGACTGCGTGTTCTTCGTCGCAAGAAAACCCACATTCGTTCCGCTGGAAGATCCCGAAGACTAGCACGCGAGCGACGTACAAAGACTGCGGCGTTCCGGCACGACGACGTGTCGGTATGTTCGGACGGGGCTTCCCCCTCCCCCCTCCTCCCGACCCTCCAGGCGTAACAATGCTATAGGTTTTTCAGTTGTTGCGTGTCGAGATTTTCGTACTGTGCACTTGCCGGAATAGAATCAATTGGTGTGATAGTGAGAGGTGTTATTTAAATACTGAAATTGTTATTTACAAGAGGCTGTTCGCCTAGGACATTAATTTTGCAGATGGTTTTGCAAGGGTGTAGTGGCTGCTGCTCATTTTGGCACGTTTATTTGCTAATTTTTATTAGCAAAACTGGCTATTGCTATTCAGGTTCCTCGCATCTGCATTCTACATGTTGAATTAGTGTACTTTCAACTATAATTATGCTGACTAATTTACATTTTGCATATTTTATATACGTAGTAAAAAATTATCAGTAAGATTTTATGGTGTAATCTGGTATAAATGTAACATCTTTTGTTTTATAAAAGATGGCACAATAAGAATTTTGCTCGTTTAATAGATAATGAAATAACTTTTGTTAGAGCTCTATTATGACCATGTACAATGTTACAAGAGGAAGTGCTTACACGGCCACCAATCACAGGAGTACAGTGCATAAACATTACCCAGCCTGGGCCGGTCAGAAGGGCACTCGAGACAAGGAAAATATGTAAATGCATGGATATTGTTTATAAAAAAATCTTGCAATAGCAAGTTTATTCAATAAAACTACTAAATCGATACAGAAAACATATACATTGTAATTACGTGCTTATTATCTGTACAAGTTCACCATAACATAGTTTTACAACATCCCATTACATACAGTCAAGAGCTAATAATGCCAGAAGTACAAGAGTATTATTAGCTCTTGATACAGTTGATGTCAAACACACAGCACTATAGATACTAGCAATAATCAATTACCTAAACCAATGGCCCCTTAAGAAGCCGACCAGCATCAAGTCTTCTTCATCATACACAGTTTAACGAAATACATCCAGATATGTACTCCCCGTCACATATTATACATGAGCGTATGATGTCAACAACGGTCGTCGGCTATCTCCTCGACTTAGCATTCGTGAAAAAGATGCGTGTTCTCCCGCTGGAAAGCCTGCATGAAATTCACGAGCACTTGCACCTCCTCGAGATGGATCGCATTGTAACAGGACACGCGGATGCCGCCAATAGACCTGCAATTTATAAAAAAGTAACACGACTACGCATTAGCACGATACACTTGTCGCTGACGTATCGATCTATCATCATCACTATCTATCAATCAATCAATCTATCTATCTATCAAGGCGATATATCCGATTCCGGTCATTATCACATTCCGATAACACAAGCGATGCTCTCACACTATTACTGCATACTGCTCACGGATGCCATTTAACGAGACATCGCCATGCAAATACTAGTTGCACCTCTTTCGCAACGACAGCCGGCGTTAGTTAGTACGAATGCCAAATCGCATTGCGTAGCTAGGTCGCGGTAAAACCATCCACCGCTTCTCACCTGTGTCCCTTCAACTGCTTCATGCCGACCTTCCCGGCTTCCTGAACGAACCTCTTCTCCAACTCGTCGGTGCACTTGCCGCTTCCTATCCTGAACGTGATGTTCATGCGGCTCTGGAACTTATCCTCGATGGGGCATCTGCGCACATTAGAACACGTTAGAACACAGAGGGCACAGAGAGCACGTTAGAACACATTAGAACAGCTGCCACACCACGCACGACTCTGCTTCTCACACGCACAATCGATTATCCTTGATGAGGCATTTGCAAGAGAGAGGAGAGGAGAGGAGAGGAGAGGAGAGGAGAGAGGAGAGAGGAGAGAGGAGAGAGGAGAGAGGAGAGAGAGAGAGAGAGAGAGAGAGAAGAGAGAGAGAGAGAGAGAGAGAGGGAAGAGAGAGAGAGAAGGAGAGAGAGAGAGAGAGGAGAGAGAGAGAGAGAGAGAGAGGAGAGAGAAGGAGACGAGAGAGGAAGAGCGAGAGAGAGAGAGAGAGAGAGAGAGAGAGAATGCTTCTAATGCGTGTGCAATAACACATCAAGCAACGTTGCTCCCGCATACGCTTCTCCTTCTCAGACGCACACGACGCAGAGACACGCGCCACAATGCCCACGCACGAGGGCACGTGTACGTGAATTGTACAACGACGCTGCCAGACTACACCCCCGGTTCCCGACACTTCTGACACTAACCACGGCCCACCCACCTAGCAGTTCCTACCCGATGTGAATTCGCCTTACGAATACGCAAGTTTACCAGATTGGTTCCTCGCCAACGACAGAAAAAAATGGAAGAAAGCCGGCGGCAGCTGACGAAGCAACCGAGAAGCAAACCAAACACTCTAATGAGGAAGCTGCAGACTCCTACTTACACGTAGAAGCCATTGGATCTGCGTATGGTGTCGTAGATGAGTTCAGACTTTGCGGCCGACTTGCGCTCCATTGCCGCCACGCCTCCCTGCTCCTTCACCCACTGCAGCACCAGTCCCATGATGTAGATGCTGCGATGAAAAATCAATACGGAATACATTAGCACACGCATGCATGCACGTGGAAACGCACAGAATCGCAGGGATGTGAATCCGCACCACTTGCAACTTGACTCGAGACAAAAAACCTCACTTGAAAACGGCAAAATGAAATGACAGAAGGCAACACAAATGCAACAGAAGCGCACTACATTTTCCAAAAAGATTCACTCCAACTTATAAATGCATCCTAGCATGCAGTCGTTAGATTCACCTAGGTTCCACAACCATTCCGTATTCGTTTACAAGCACGTAACTAGCACTAACATCTACCTATAACTTGGGGGAGTGTTGTAGAGAGAGTTGCAGGCAGCCTGCTCTTTGTAGTTGAGAATCGTCGGGCATTCTTTCAGCGCATGTCCAACGAGATCATCTCGCACGATCACCACGGTTACGCCAGCGCAGCCTATGTTTTTCTGCGCTCCGGCATAGATCAGACCGAACTGTAATGCATCGCCACAGTACGTTAGTAACGCCAGCTCAAATCTAACAGAGATGTATGCGAGGTGAATACGTGACACATGCACAGACAGATAGACATGTACAAATACTAATGACTTCCTCATAGGAAAGTAATTACACAAGTATGAATATAATCGTTAACATTTACCAGATCTAGTAATGGCATGCGAGTGAAATCTTTTATCAGTATTTATGGATACACAATGTAAAGTTTTGGTCGTTGAGCATTAAGCCAGATATAAATGATCTTGTGGTCTATCCTATGCCAGTAATAATTATTGCAAACAATGTAGACTATATTAATTTAAAAGTAAATCCATAAAATAAAAAATCTGACGTAAATATAGTCTTACACAATGTTAGCAATAGGAGAAGAATCTTTTAAAATCACATAAAGACATTTTCACAGACTGCACGTCTAGGTGCTTAAAAAACACAAAATGGCTGACATACATGGTGTAGGAAAAACAGAGAAGAGGAGAATTTTGCCAACCGGTCCGTTTATGAAACCTTTCATTTCTATTACTGCTATTAACCTTACACACCTTAACGAATGAATGCTGTTGCATGTATAAACACATTGTACAGATCTATGCACAATTGCATCGCATATCATTTCAAACAACTACTTTACCAACTTTCGATGTCAACAACTCGTACGGTGCACGCGACGTACAGGATAACAGCATCAATTAATTTCCATATTCTACATACTTCACCTGTACTGTTTGTACCAAAAAGCTTGCACACGACTGTAGCAAAATTACGAATTCATTCGTGCGGTAGTATCAAATTCGCCGGCTTATCAATAGCAAAATAATTGAAACAAGGAAAGCGAAGCAGCAACGTGATTAGTCCCACAGAGGGCAGCAGCCGTCGCTTCTGCGCACCCGCGCGACCGCTAAGCAGAGCTCATGCGATCGACGCCGGTGCGGCTAGAGCGCGGACGGGCTGCCGTGCGAGAGCGTCTGTTAGCGCCTGGCAGCGGGGGGAGGCGGTAGCGCAGGATAGCGGCCGGGTGCCTCTTACCGTAGGTTCACCGTGTGCCTCGAGCGGTCCCGCGCCGCGCGCGCGCGCGTGCGCGCGACGTCGCGGCAAAGCGCCCCCACGCGCGCCCAAGCATAGCTCGGTGCGACCGTGGCGCCTACCGCAGCGCCCCCTGCGGGGCCGCGCGTCGCGACGACTGGACCGCCGGCGACCGTCGAACGTTCATCGCTTTAGATGTTCAACCCCCTCGCCCCCACGCTCCGGCCGCTCCGACCTCCTCCCCCGGCCACGGGAGCGCAAGCAGAGCTCTCGCTCACCAGGTGGCGCTAGGGGTGGCGACGGTGCAGGGTACCGGCACGCAAGGCGATCAATGCCAATGTGGTGAACCGAACCAGGGGCAAGAAGATGGCGGAAGAGACGTTGTGTGTGTGTGTGGAGGAGGGAAGAGCGATGTGCGGCAGCGGAGACAGTAGCATGCGGGAGCGAGCAAACACGAAAGACTAACGCGTCGCAGAAGCGACGACCTACAATGCACACGTGGCGGTGACGCCCTCTACACAGGCGACGGCCGCCGCAAGTTCGACACTCGGCGACTCGGAAAAAAAAACCTGGATGCGCGCTATTCCGACGTCGCTGGAAAAACACCTGCACTCAATGCAGATCCGCCAGCAGGACTCTCACCTTCGTTACATCAATTGGTCTGGACAGAAAATTTGACGACATGTCACAGACAATTGGCGGTCCGTCGCTCTCCGGTACGAACGGAAACTCGATGCCTATACGAACATTCATAAAACTCGAAGCATGAGGCAGGGAACACTACGCAGCCGATAGGCACCCTGTGACGACGGCACTGCGTCTGTGGCAAGCGCGATCAAATCGTTTCGCAAGCCCTTTCGGTGCTCGCGAAACCGGCGAGAAAACCGGACGCTTTCGCGCAGATTTCTCGCCGAGGTTTTTGCCGACTATCGTGCCCAGCGACTGCGTGTGTAAGAGATAACCATTGCCACTACAAGAAGGGGAAAGGGTAGCACACACCGAGTAACTGTGACCAGCGCGCCGTACATGCGATGTTTTTCTTGCTTCGGAAACTTCTGCTCATGTGAAAGACCATCCCTCTTTTAATCGACACGATCGTAATATGTGGCATCAAGAGTTAAAAACAAACAGAACAAATGACAAATAAACATACAGAAACAAAGGTTTCTACACAGCTGAGATGTACTCGTGGTTTTTTTTTTTGGTTTCGATTTTCCGAAATTCTTGGGGGTCGGTCTCTGCACGAGTTATTTCCCGTGGTCCCTGAGACCCTTGGTGTTTCCTGGCAAACTTCTACACAAGCCTCAAGATGAAGCCTGTGGTCCCCGAAGTTGCCTCTACGATAACGGAGACGTACGGACGAGGGTGAAACGTCGAAAGACAAAAGTACATGCGTATCAGCTGTGGTCCCCAAAACCTTTCCTCCTAGATGCATTTATATCGAAACAATTTAGATAGCACGACACGTTGTAGCAATTTAAAACGCACTCAATCGTCGTTGTATTCGCCGCGACGACCGTTACTAGGGAGAGACTCGCGCGGATGATGCTTCACATGCATTTTTCGCAGACGACGAAGCGGCGGCCGTGGTGACGTGGCGGTCGGTCACAATTTCACGTGCAAGAGAGAGCGGGCGGCGGGGTAGTGGTAGAGCAATGGTGGCGGCGGCGAGGGCACCTACCGTGGATGGTCTCGTTGTCGCAGTAGTGGAGGTACGCCGCGTCCGGATTCGTCGTCCACTTCGTCGTGCAAGGTACGCCTGTGGACGCAAACCGAAATTACGCGGTTTGCTTAAAACTCTCGCGAGCGATCACAAACTGTTGGGGGGGGGAGAACAATCATTTTTATCCGTGCAGACCTTCTAGGTAGGTTTTAGTAGGTCAGTGTAACTTAACTTATATAGTATCTGACAAAAAACTACATGATATAGATTCAAACTTCTTTCTTCCTTCTTCATGCACCACTTTAAAAATCACCTTTCTTAGTTTAATGTTCGTATTCGCCTCTCAATGTCAAATTTTAAATACATGATACACTCCATTTGGTATAATTCTGGTAAGATCGAACATATAACATTATAAGTACTCGCACACATAGATTGTTTGTTAGCAACAAATCATGATTAAACGGTTCACCATTTTTCCCAAACCATCATCGCAAACTTCTTCTTCGATTGACTGCACTCATTCCCACACTGCAAAAACACCCCCACGACCGACAGACAACGAACCCGACCACTCAGACTCGACATATCCGTAGAGCAATCAGTACCCACCGACGTGCTTTTCGACGTCAGCGATCACTCTGTGAACCTTGCCGTATTTCTCGGCCTCTTTGGCGGCTTTCGCCGACCACGTGCCGGTCACGATGTAGTCGGCCGTCTTTCCCGGCTGCAGGAGGTTGAGAGGGATGGCGCTGAACTGCCCCGAACCGCCTCCTTGCAGGAACAGCACGTGGTAGTTGGCGGGGATGCCTCTGTAAAGAAGAGCGCCCTTGTCCGTTAATCGAATGTGTGCACGCAGGGTCGCCGATTGTTCGCAAAAACGGAGGTTTGAATTCGGAATTTTATTTGTATTTTGAGTTTGGCTGGTAAATCTGCGGTCGTGGTCTCCCTCTTATCGCAAAAACACAGAGACAAAGAACGCATTCGTGGCGATATGCTCTTTCTCGCGCCGAAAATTGTTACCGCCGATCGTTTCTGCACGAGTTTTAGTACTTTTACATCAATTGGCGACTCTGCTCAGTCAAAATCAGCAACGCGAAACTTGCACGTTCGAATGTACCAACTCGTGTGTTCGCGAGTTTCGACTCTACGCGTCCGTCGACCGCGGCGCCCTCTACGCGTCCGTCGACCGCGGCGCCCTCTACGCGTCCGTCGCTACTCACACGAGCTCCCTGAGCGTGCTCTCCGCCTCGTGTATGATCTGCGAGAACTCTGCGGATCGGTGGCTCATCTCGAGCACGCTGTGACCTGTGCCGCGGTAGTTGAGCAGTTCGCTATTCGCCTTCTCCATGACCTGTCGCAGAGAGAGGAGATGCATTCAAATACGTGTTTTAAGCAGTCTTAGTCTTACATAGCAGGGATGCCATCAAAGCCGAGTTGGTGGTCCGTCAGAGAGTGAGAGAGAGCGAGAG